GCTCCCGAGCACCCACCTGATCACTACACAGTCCAGAACCATGCATCCGCTCCTGAGCACCCACCTGATCACTACACAGTCCAGAACCATGCATCTGCTCCCGAGCACCCACCTGATCACTACACAGTCCAGAACCATGCATCCGCTCCTGAGCACCCACCTGATCACTACACAGTCCAGAACCGTGCATCCGCTCCCAAGCACCCACCTGATCACTACACAGTCCAGAACCATGCATCCGCTCCCGAGCACCCACCTGATCACTACACAGTCCAGAACCGTGCATCAGCTCCCGGGCGCCCTCCTGATCACTACACAGTCCAGAACTGTGCATCTGCTCCCGAGCACCCACCTGATCACTACACAGTCCAGAACCATGCATCAGCTCCTGAGCACCCACCTGATCACTACACAGTCCAGAACCGTGCATCTGCTCCTCAGCACCCACCTGATCACTACACAGTCCAGAACCGTGCATCTGCTCCCGAGTGCCCTCCTGATCACTACACAGTCCAGAACCATGCATCAGCTCCTGAGCACCCACCTGATCACTACACAGTCCAGAACCGTGCATCTGCTCCCGAGCACCCACCTGATCACTACACAGTCCAGAACCGTGCATCTGCTCCCGAGTGCCCTCCTGATCACTACACAGTCCAGAACCATGCGTTAGCTCCTGAGCACCCACCTGATCACTACACAGTCCAGAACCATGCATCAGCTCCCGAGTGCCCTCCTGATCACCTACAAGGTCTAGAGCTATGCATCAGCTCCCGAGCACCCTCCTGATCACTACACAGTCCAGAACCATGCATCAGCTCCCGAGTACCCACCTGATCACTACACAGTCCAGAACTGTGCATCAGCTCCTGGGCGCCCACCTGATCACTACACAGTCCAGAACCGTGCATCTGCTCCCGAGCACCCACCTGATCACTACACAGTCCAGAACCATGCATCAGCTCCCGAGTGCCCTCCTGATCACCTACAAGGTCTAGAGCTATGCGTCAGCTCCTGGGCGCCCTCCTGATCACTACACAGTCTAGAGCCATGCATCAGCTCCCGGGCGCCCTCCTGCACACTGGTAGAGTTAGGCCCCTTGGTCCTAGGAGAGGAGAAGAGGTAACATGGGAGTCCATCAGAAAGGCGTGATGCCACCCAGGCAGGAAGCAAACCCTCAGCTCCTCCTAGTGGCCTACAAAGACCCAGCCACCCAGAGACCTGGCCTGTGCTTCACAAGAAGCAAGAACAGAAGTTGAGGTGTTGTTCCACCCACCTGATCCAATCTGCTCTCTAAGGATGGCATGAAGCAGCCTGTGCCCCAAAGGAAGGACTTCCCTTGTCCCTCTGCGGACCACTCGGCCTGGTCTTACAAACACCCAGCAGCCTATAACCTGCAGGAAGAATGTATGCCACATATACATAAGGACCTACACACACATACATAAACACAGGGACATGTGCCACACACACAACACAGAGAGACCCACGCATAAGCATGTACACCAGAACACACTGACACACACATACATAAGTGCATATGCACCTGCATGTGTACACATCACTGTACACCAGGCACATGATCACGTATGCATACAGATAGACACAGACACATGCACACAGAGACCCTTCATAAACATGAATATAGGCACATATGTATACACTAGCACACACATGCATTCATGCATATGTGCTTGTGTGCACACACATGAATACACATATTACATGTATAGCACGAATATACATGTTTAGGCACATGCACACAGAGACCCACACAGAGAACATGCATGCCTGTGCACACACGCTGACATATGTGTGTGCATGTGCAGAGACATGCATATACACAGAGATACATGAGTATCCGGCACGTGTGTGCATGTTAATGTACACCGTGGCATGTGAATAGACATGCATGCACACATGTACAGACACTTGCACACAGATGCACACAGGCACGTGCCTGCACCTGCACACGCTCACGAACTGCCCACTTGCAGACTGCAAAGTGGCTGGAGGAAGCCTCAGCAGCCCCACACGCTCCGCACACCTAGCCGGTCCTCAGGCCCATCCAGTCACCCTCTGAAACATCCAACCCACCAAAAACACATATTTTCCTAACCTCAGGCATCTGGCTGCCGTACACCCGCTGGAAAAGCAGGAGGAGAGCAAGAGACAGGCAAGAAAAACCACAAGGCAGACCACAATGTTTATAGAACAGGTCACCGAATTATACAGAACAATATTTTCCTTACAGATGCAATTCCTTCCTGGCTGAGCTGGATGCCAAGGCCTGTGCTGGCCCCAGGAACCCTGGTAAGGACCCAGGCATGCGAGAGCCCACAGGAGCTAGGCCGGATGGAGTGAGCTGGCTGTTGGAAATGGGTTGGAAACCACAGGACATTTTCACAGACTCTGGTCAGAAATGCATGCACATGGAGCCGGTATGCGTGCCACCTTGCTCACCTGTGCCTCCGGATAGCACTGGGCCTGCGGGCAGGATTGAGACCTCGGCCAGCCAGGTCTGAGCGTCTCACAGGGGCCCAGCTCCTGGGAGGACACTGACCCCTTGGCTCACCTGGGCATTCCCCAAGTCTTCGTGGCTCCCAGCCAAAGCTGGAAGCTGCCCAAATGGGGTGCAAATGCCTGGAATTTGCAGACGTGGTCTGAGCGCTGGAAGAGAAGGAACCTGAGGTTTTGGCTCTGCCTTTAGCTGCCTCAGAAAGCTGGAGGGATGCAAAGAAGGACATGGCGGCGGGGAGATGGCCCAGCCACACCCACTTGGCAGGGGCTAAGTTGGAACTGAGTTACAAAGACCACGCGGCCTCTGGGTCACCGCATGGCCAGATGCATCACAGAGCCGGAGTCCGTGGAAATGAAAGGAAGGAAGCAAGAGCAGGTATCTGACAGGAAGGGGAGGGCAGAGCAGGCACCACAGACCAGCCCTGGGGGCAGCCATGCTCGCTGCCCGCCTCCCCCAGGCTTTGACTGCCTGGTGCCCTGAGACTGAGCCCCCCTGGAGAGGCTCGGAGGAGCTACAAGGTCAGCCCTGAAGCCAGCCCACGGGAAGCCTGCTTCCCTGACCCCCTGAGCTCTTCCACCGTGCGCCGCCAAAGCAGGCTGTACACCAGGCGAGTGACATGCCTCCTGCCATGGTCCCACCCCACATCCCACCCTGCTAACTGGACAGTCAAGAAAGCCATGACCTCCCCCAGCCTCTGCCCCTGGTCCCATCCCCGCTGCTTCAGGGAACTCTCTAAAACCTGGGGGATCTACCTCCACTCCGCCCACTCCCTGTTCCCATGGACAGGAGTTTGTGTTTTGGCTTTGACAGATGGAGGAGGAGGGACATCCCCCCTAGGGACCATGGCAAGTGTGGGGGGCCCTCAAGCCAAGGGCCGACCAGGCATGCACTGAAGGGTTGACCCCTGCCCTGTTTCCCCAGGTGCACACGGATGTCAGGCAGAACTGCAGCTACACGCAGACTACCTGAAGCAGGCAGGGCAAGCCACCGCAGCCCGGCGCAAACATTCCACTGTGAGCCCCACCGAAAGCCCTCACCTCCCCAGACCCAAAGGCTTTTCACTCACCTCTGCCTCCTCGCTCAGAGCCCATCAAAGCCCAACTCCAGCCCCGCCTCCCTGCAAGGCCTTCCAGACTGTGGGAAGGCTGGGCCCCTCGCTGATCTTCAATAAACAGTCCCAGCTTGTGAAAGATCGAGTCCAGCCTTTTTCTTTCTCCATTTTCCTAACATTGGGTGCTGGAACTCAGAAGAGGCAAAGCGCCAGGAGTAACGGGGTCCCCTCCGCCGGGGCCACGCACCCCCTGGCTGCCTCTCATCCAGCCGTTAGTTATTCTCTCCTCTTCCATTCTCCACTGGGAGCACAGAGTCCTCTATGCTTACTACACTTTTTTTTTTTTGGTCGGTCATGGGGCTTGAACTCTGGGCCTGGGCGCTGTCCCTCAGCTCTCCAGCTCAAGGTGAGTGCTCTACCACTTGAGCCACAGTACCACTTCCAGTTTCCTGAGTGGTTCATTAAAGATAAGAGTCTCCTGGACTTTCCTGCCCAGGCTGGCTTTAAACCATGATCCTCAGCTCTCAGTCTCCTGAGTAGCTAGGATGACAGGCGTGAGCCACCAGCCCGACCTGGACCTCCCTGAGTTCCTGTGGCCTTTGTCTACATAAGCAGTGCATGCCTCGTGGACACCTGTCCTGTGTGGCTTGAGTTGTTACTGGGCCCCTGTGTAAACCCTGGGGCTGGCCCTCTGTCCTTCTAATCTCCCCCCCCTCCCTTGTCCCCAGACTCTTGATCTCCAGGCACGAGGCTCTTTGCCATTTGAATGACTCCATCCACTACCCCAAAGCCTCCAGGACAAGGTAACCAACCCTGGTCCATAGTGGCGGCCCTGTGACAAGGGCCTGGGGACTCCAGGAGTCCTTTCTTCCTGTCTTTGGGGTCCTCAGAGACTCCAGGAGTCTCTCACGCTTGACTGACCCCGACACCCTTTCATTAGGACTGTGGAGAAGCCATCTCTTCATTATTGGAAAGCGCTGGTTTGCCTCCCCAAGCCTGGGGCCGCGTGAAGTGGGAAGCCAGGAAGCCAGGCCCCTCCACCGCCTGCCAGCGCTCCCCAGTGGGCTCCAAACTGTCTCCCACAGACACCCACTGGCTTGCCAGCCATCTACTCTGCAGACTCTTGGGCTGACTGATTTATAAGCCAAAAAAAACGGACTTGTGTCCTACTGAAATCTGGCCTCACTATCATTTAGACAAAGGCCACCATTGGTCTGAACTTTGAACCTTCAATTTTATGTCCTTACTGATTTCAACAATTTTCTCCAATGAAATGGCAGAGTCCGAGGCTCCATAGGCCCAAGCCTCCCCAAACCTTCGATCCAAACTGCCCTCTGTTCATCCTGTCCTGCTTCAAAAATTCTCCTTTGCGGTCCTCCTGCCTCGCACTCTAAAATACCGCCAAAAAGGCTCAACCTCCACCCAGTCTGAGCCTCCTCCTGACCTTCCCTCCATCCCCCACCACTAAGGCCCATTAGCCTCCAAAGCCTCTGGCCTCTCCCTCCCACTCACCCCTCACTCCAGCTCCTCCCTCCACCCCGCTCCATCCTCCTCTCCCCTCCTCCATCCCCTGACCTGAAACTACCCATGTTTCCCTTCCTGAGAGAGCGGGCAGGACACACACAGACACACACACACACACAGACACACACACACACACACAGACACAGACACACACAGACACACACACACACAGACAGACAGACAGACAGACAGACAGACACACAGACACACACACACACACACACACACACACACCACATGTTCCTTTCACCCTAAATGAGATGGATCCTAGTGAACAAAGACTGGGCCATTTTCAGACAATCCTCTCCATTATAAACACTGTTTACCAGGACTGCCCAATTGTACTCTCACCTGCTGTGATATTCAGCACATTCTTTTTTTCTTTCTTTTTACCAATCCTGGGACCTGAACTCAGGGCCTGGGCACTGTCCCTGAGCTTCTTTTGCTCAAGACCAGCACTCTACCCCTTGAGCCACAGCGCCACTTCTGACCTTTTCTATGTATGTGGTACTGAGGAATCGAACCCAGGGCTTCATGCATGCTAGGCAAGCACTCTACCACTGAGCCACCTTCCCAACCCTCAGCACATTCTTATTTCAACCCTAATGCCATTTTAAGGTTGGCCAGGGCTCACACCGCTAGCCTAAATGAACAAAGTGCCCCTCCAGTGGCACTGTGGCTCAAGTGGTAGAG